TAGATTATTCTCTGTCATGACTTTGGCACTCAACATCTAGCACTGTCTTGGAGAAATTTGCTGTTACAGATCAGAAATGAGCATGGGCGAGGCTGGTTTCAACCGGCATTTAGTATGACTTAGCCAAAGAGAAATTCTGTGCATAACTATAGGCTTACTTTAGATGGCATGTTTAATTTAATGTACCTAGGTGTGTTTGATTTACTAATATAGCTACAGAATTTTCTTACTGTTGAATTTCCAAACTTTCCCTACTAAGAATAGAGACTTAAAGGTCAAAGTATTTTCAGGCTACCTGAGATACCTCTGAGAGATTAAGCTTGTGTTTTTGACAAGTTGGATGATGGGTACGTAAAACTTTCCTGTCAGTTGTGACAGGAGAAATCTTGGCCCGAATACTGCATCATCACCATAGGGTCATATTTTCTCTAGTCTTCTGAGCAGGTAGCATACATGCTCTTTCACTACAACAAAGTGCAGGAAATATCTAGTATTTGAGGAAACTTGTGATGGCATGATTGGAAACAGGAAATAGGTGAATATTTGTCTCAGATTGTATTTATATGTGCTGAGGATTCGCTATGCATGTGACATCTTGTGAAAATAAGCTTTTTTTTTTTTTTTTTTTTTTTTTTTTTAATTTAGAGCCTGGAATTCCTGGGAGCATGGGACTGTAGGAAACATTACCATTTTGCTGGATTCTGACTGTTAAATATATGGGTTGGAAAGCATAGGTGGTTACTTGGAATAAGAGAAGTTGTATAAGAGAAGGGTAACAAAGCTGGTGAGGGGTCTGGAGCACAAGCACTCTTGTGAGGAAGGGCTAAGGGAGCTAGGATTATTTAGTACAGATACAAGGAAGTTCAGGGGTGACCTTATCACTCTCTACGACTACATGAAGGAAGATTGTGGTGAAGTGGGGGTTGATCACTTCTTCCATGTAATTAGCAATAGGACTAGAGGATGTGGCCTCAAGTTGCACTAGGGAAATTCAGGTTGGATGTTTGGAAATGCTTCTCCAAGACAGTGGTCAGGCACTGGAATGGGCTGATCAGGGAGGTGGTGGAGTCCACCAACCCTAGGGGTGCTCACAAAAAGTTTAGATGTTGTATTGAGGGACATGGTTTAGCGGGAAATATTGGTGATTGGTGGATGGTTGGGCTGGATGATCTTAGAGGTCTTTTCCAAAGTTAGTGATTCTTTGATTCTTTGCTTTGCATGTTGCATGCTGCCTCGGCTCCTCTACTCTGGCAGGTGGTGGAGATGGTGTTTTCCTACTTGAGTAGTGGTGTGGTGAGGGATGAGAGTCCTGACCATCTTTACTTCACCTTATTCTTAGGGTGCTGGAAAGATTATGGTTTGTCTTGGATTTAAACATGCAGTTATGTTGTATAGAAGTAAAAAACCTTAGCTTGTGAAGTTGAATCTGTAAAAAATCAGGAAAATTACTTAGAAAAGGCATTTGCTTAATTCAGGGATTAGTGAATGCACAGAGAGGGAGAGGCAGATGCTACCCAGGAAGAACTGCAGACAACTGAGTATTCCCCAGGTATTCCCTTGCTTTGTCCCTGTTAAGAATCTTAAATAATGCACTGTGATTCTTTGATGTGCCTCCGTTTAGATCTCAGGATCTCTATCTATAATTTCCTGGATTTCATCCATTTGAAATGGAAACTCAATATCTCATTGCGCTTTCTATATATTACATTACAGGTTATTGTATTTAGCATTCTAAGAATGTCCAGTATGTTCAGATTTAATGATCACCAGCTATGAGCTGCACCTTCTTTGAAATAGTTTTTGTTATAAGAATATTGCAGTTGGGGACAGATATGAAGTCAGTAATCAAGTTTAAAATATTTAATTCCAGTTGAGCAAACTAATCATAAACCTTGTAAGTACTTGGATACAGGTCTTGTATGCTTCAAACTTGTGAGTAAAGGTTAGTAAATATACGTATTATTAGGGTTTCTCTTTAGATGAATACATACTGTTAAGATTTCTCTTGAGACGATTAAGAAATTCTTCTCCAGGATTTGACAGGATTTTTTCAAATGTAAGTATTTTTGATGAAATCTGGTGAAATTCAAAAATGGCAGCTTTTCAGGCAACAAGCCTGAGGGGTTTAATACAAACATAAAAGAAACAGTCAAAACTGTGCGTGTTTATATGAAGGCATTGGAATGCCCTATGTGCTACTTAAGTATGTTGTGATTGTAATTATTTACATTAGTCTAAATATTTATGTAATGCACAACTGTGTAAGTACTAGGTGCTAAGTAGTGAATGAATGTTTTCTTTACAAGAGAGGTGAACATTTCTTTGAGCAGATGAGGCCTGTATGTTTTTAGGAGAACAATTTTCATGTTATTGGTTTTTTAAAAAAGCATGCACAACAATATCCCAAGGAAACATTTGTTTCTTCTCTTTTAATTCATTTATATTGTACTTGTCAGCTGGTCTTAAATGCAGTACCAAAAGTAGCATTTGTAATTTCTGTGTTAATTTCTTTCTGCAAATTGGAGTGAGCTTTCTCATCTTTGGAGTAGACCCAGACACCAGTCTGAAAGAAGAGATAAAATCAGTATTCCTAATTATTTAGACAGTGAACAAATGAAGACTGGTGAGCAGATCTTCTTAGTTCTGATTTTGCCAGAGTTGCTCCATATCCTTTTACAAGAATCCTTACTTTGCTAGTTTTAAGAACTGGCAAAAATAGTTACCTACTGCAGGAAGGGGAGGAAGAGATCTTCAGTCAAAAATATTTTCTAGAGCAAGAAAGAGACTTATCTGAGCCTATGATGGCCTCACCCATGCTTCTGGCAGGCATGTCGGCATCCCCAGGTTGCAGAGCCCAAGTCTGAGGCAGCAGGAAATTCTCATGTGAAGTGCTAAACTCATTCTTGGTCTGAATGTAGTGCAGGGTTATGTTTTTCACTGTTGTGCCTTAAAGTCAGAACAATCAACAGATTTATTTAAAACAAAGATATTGTTCCATGCATTAGAGCTTTTTAATTTTAATTTTAGAGATTTTTAAATTACTTTTCTTCTTTTGCTGCCATGACTTCTATTAAACTGTTTAGGCAATTAATTATGGAAATCAGTTCCTATACTGGCAAAGAATGTGTGTGCGTGTGTGCGTGTGTGCGTGTGTGCGTGTGTGCGTGTGTGCGTGTGTGCGTGTGTGCGTGTGTGCGTGTGTGCGTGTGTGCGTGTGTGCGTGTGTGCGTGTGTGCGTGTGTGCGTGTGTGCGTGTGTGCGTGTGTGCGTGTGTGCGTGTGTGCGTGTGTGCGTGTGTGCGTGTGTGCGTGTGTGCGTGTGTGCGTGTGTGCGTGTGTGCGTGTGTGCGTGTGTGCGTGTGTGCGTGTGTGCGTGTGTGCGTGTCAACTGGAAATGAATAGAAAGCATACTGACTAGAGAGCATGAAGTCTTATTGATACCTCTTGCAAAGGGCAGTCTTCTCTTCCAATACGTCTTTGACTACTAGCATTCTTTTTTTTCCCTGCATTCCCACATACACAACCAAATCTTGAAAGGGGGTCTTAATATCACTAAATTATAACATGCCTTTGAAAACACAACAATAAAGCAGTGAGATACATCAATAATTTTGTCAGAAAATGAGGAATTGTGACACCTGACTTACAGACATTGCCGTGTTACCCTGTGGCTTTTGTTTCCAAGTATTTGTGAACAGACATGAGTGACAGGCTTTGCATTTAGGAGGTAAGTAAAATGTCAGCTGAGTTCTTCTGAGTTTTTAATGCAGCTTTTATGGATAGCCAAAGCTCACAACCTGAGCTGTTTTTCTTTTGAGGTTCCTGGGAAGGGAATTGATTTCTACCTGTTATGTGGGAAGGTGATGTTTACTGTGAGCACTAATTGATTTGATGGGCCTATCCTGAAAAACAGGAGGGTCTTTCAGAAGATTTGCGACAGTATTTTCTTGCAAAATAGATGGAAAGGAATGTTCTTTTGTGAGAACTTTGCATATTAGTAGACATTGTTAGATTCAATGAAGTTGATTGGAAATTCAGAACAAAACTTGAGGCTCTGAATAAATTAGATTAAAATCTAAGACAATACTTGCATGATGCCCTGTGAGGAAAATCTGTAAACTTTCATCCAGTTCTCCTTGCTGACTGAGGTTCTGTTCTCATGTTAATGTTGCCAATAGTGAAGAATTGTGGGAACAAGAGTACAGAGTGTATGTGTTATACAAGCAGAATTGTGTTGAAACAGTCTGAATAATGGTATTTTGTATGGGATGCCAGCCAGCCCTTTAGTGCTTACTGCTACTGCAAAATTGCTTGCTAATCCTGCACCAACAATTGTTTTTCTAAATCATGTTGGAACTTTGATTTCATTGTAATACGGCAAGGCTAGAGCAGTTTGGATTTGAGGCTCGGGACAGATGGTTTGTGTCATTGGAAGAAGGGTGCTTTGTAATGGTGCATCACACTGGAATTGCAGATGACAACACCTCGTTCAAAGGCCGGTACTTTGAAAGAGATGCACTGCTGTCCAACACTCTGTACTCGGTTCTTACCCAATAAGCTGGCTGTTACTGGCTCAGATACTGATGGCATTAGGGACTCCTTTGTCTTAACTACTGGCAGCTTTTTTTTTTTTTTTTTTTTTTTTTTTTTTAGCTTTTTTTAATCCCAACGTTAAAAGGTGACTTGTGTCAAAGTTGTAAGGGAGAAAAAAGGAAAGTGTAGTTAGTCTGGCCATTAGTGCCTTGAATTTTAAAATTTGACATGCCACCTTGCCTGTCAAAGCGGTAGCATAAGAAAGTCAAGTTTTAAATACTGTGGATTCAAATAGGCCAGATTTCTAAGCATTTAGATGGTAAGGAGATACATTCAGAATAGCTTCATTGTTCCCTAAAATCCACCCTGAACTATGTTACATTTTGCTGTTCGATTGCTGTTGTTTGTAAGTGCAAAACAGCTACAAAAAGTGAAGATTGGTTTCTAATGTTTGCGTTGATGTTTCAGACTGGGGATTTCACAAGGATGGCAAATGAAGAAAAGCTTGCTTTTGCATCCGGCAGGGATTATATTTGTTATGAGATCAGAGAAAATTCAAACAAATAAAAACAAGCCATTGCTAAAAACAACTGAAGAGTTATGCAATGATGCAAATGAATGCGGAAGTACTTAGTTCTGTGGATAACTGCCATAGTAAATCATCTCTTGACTTCAGTGGAAAACAACACATCTCTGGCGAGCTACTCAGGTAAAAGTATCCTGTGTCAGAATCCTTCTATTATACTTCTTTTATTCTTTTTGTTGCTTTTTAACCCCAGTTGTAATGGAGGGTGGTGTTTGTTTTTTTTTCTTAACTCCTAGAGCAGTTGGGAGCAAAGCCTAAACTAAATAGGGCAATGGTGAAAGATAAATGGTTTGGATCATTTTGAGTGTCACTAGGTTTTTATTAAAAATATAAGCCCAAAAAATAATCTAGTGATTATTTTTAAGGTAAATGTCACTGGAAATATAATCAAGGGCTTAAAAATGCTATTTTAACTCAAAGTTACATAACTTAAACCTTTTAGTTTATAATAATTTTCTGCTTTTGCTTTTCATTGCTGTGATTTTCTTATTGCTTTACTGTTGAATTATCTACCTACCGTATAGAATCATACAACAGCTTGGGTTGGAAGGGACCTCTAAGATCACCTAGTTCCAACTCCCTGCAATAGGCAGGGGCACCTCCCTCTAGACCAGTTTGCTCAAAGCCACATTCAGCCTGATCTTGAATGCTTCCAGGGAGGGAGCATCCACAACCTCACTTGGCAACTTGTTCCAGTGTCTCACCACCTTCGCAGTAAAGAATTTCTTCCTAATATCTAATCTAAATCTACCCTCTTCCAGTTTAAAACTATTTCTCCTTGTCCTGTCTCTACATGTCCTAACAAAGGGTACCTCCCTAGCTTTCCTGCAGGTTCCCTACAAGTACTGGAAAAGACCCTATAAGGACCCAATTCAGCCTTCTCTTCTCTAGGCTGAAGAATATCAACTCTTTCAGCTTGTCCTTGTAATGGAGGTGCTCCAGCCTTCTGATCATCTTCATGGCCCTCCTGTAAACCCACTCCAGCAGCTTGATATCCTCCTTGTATTGAGGGCCCCAGAACTGGACACAATACTCCAGTGGTTTCTTATGAGAGCAGAGAAGAGGGTCAAGATGATCTCCCTCAACCTGGTCATCATGCTTCTCTTGATGAAACCCAGGATACAGTTGACCTTCTGGGCTGCAAGCATACTCTGCTGACTCATGTTGAATATCTCATCAACCAACACTCCTAGATCCTTCTCCTCAGGGCTGTTCTCTGCTCAACATGTATATTTGCTTGGGATTGCCCCAACCAATGTGCAGGACCTTGAACTTATTAAACTTCATGAGGTTGGCATGGGCCCACCTCTCTAGCCTTTGTAGGTCCCTTTGGATAGCATCCCTTTCCTTCTAGCGTGTCAGCTGCATCACTCAGCTTGACATCATCTGCAAGCTTGTTGAGGATTCATTTGATTCCACTTTCCATGTTGTACAAAGATATTAAATAGCACTGATCCCTGAGGGATGAAGCTTGTCACCAGTCTCCACTTGGACACTGACCCACTGACCACAGCTAAGTGTGGTCATCCAGCCAATTCCTTATCCAGTAAGTGGTCCATCTATCAAGTCCATTTTTCTCCAATTTGGTTAACAGGATGACATATGGGACAGTGTCAAATACTTTGCACAAATCCATGCAGATGGCATCAGTTGCTCTTCCTTTAGCCACTGAGTCTGTAACTTCATCATAAAAGGTCACCAAGTTTGTCAGGTATGATTTGCCTTGGTGAAGCCATGTTGGTTACTACCAATCACATATTTATTTTCCATGTTCTTTAGTGAGAGACATCCCATCGCATCTCAGTGGTTCCAATGATGACATAGCCCTGTAGGCACCCCATGCTCCGTGCATTAGTGTACAGGCATTGGAGTTGGGTCCAGTTGAGGCTGATTTTTCCAATTGGAGTTCCCTCATTCTGCACTTTTGGTGGTGCCTTGCTGGACTGTGATACAACTGCAGGCCTAGGGCATCCATTACCATCATCAGTCTCAAAGTGGGATGGTTTGAGGATTCCCTCCCCTGGCAACTCTAGTTTAAAATCCTCCTTATTAAATCGGAGAGCTTGTTACCAAAGATGCTCTTCTCTTTCTCTGAGAGATGAAGGAATTACTTAAAGTAACTGATGCCAGAGTATCTGTGAGTGCTTAAATACAACATATAGATTTCAAAATGATAAAATTAAAGAGTTGCAAACTGAGGAAAGAGCAAACAGTGGGGGGACTTTTAGCACCTTATCAATGATAGGATATACACAACACTGCCAAACAAAATTGAAAATATAACCCAAACACAGTTTAATCATGAATTTTTTAAAAAAATGTCCACACTCTATTTCTTGACAGTGCCTTCTGTAACTTCTTGTTTATCTCTAGTTATAGGTCACTTCTTAGTCATCTGCTTACTTCTAACTAGTTAAATCCTTGGCTATACTTTTATCTGACTTAGACATCTTTATCTTGTACTCAGGCTTAGAAATGTACAGATAATAGAATTTAACGAATAATTAAATTGCTTTTAATTAAAAGTCACCAAAAAATCAATGCTGAAGGGGCTGTCTGTTAAGATTACATGCAAGTTAATAAACATTCAGTTGTATTGCTCATTAAGAGAATTAAGAGAATGTAATGTTACTGCTCAGCCTTTTTTATAGTCTGTCTCAAGCCTACAGAACTTCATCATAAATCAAGTTAAAAAAATAAAATTTCTTATAAAGCTAAACGACCTAATATATCAATGTTTCCAGATAAGATCCAGCACAAGCTTCTCTGAAGATAGGGAGCATCAATCTTAGGTGATTCATTTCCTCGGCTTCTCCCAATACAATTTAGTGAACACATAGTGTCTGGAATAAAGACTTTTTCCCAAAAGGCTGAATATTTGTACTAAGATGTATTTATGAAGTACAAAAATTGCCTCATCTCTTGCATAAAAGCTATATTTGAAAAATGAAATAAGCATCTTAACATTATTTTTTTTTTTTAATGAACCATGTCTCTCCCCCCCCCCAAAAAATTGATTTTGTCTCAATAAAGAAATCACAGGGGACTTATATTATGGTGTCAACCATTACATATTTTACTGTCCTTCAGTTTTCTGAGAAATCCTTACTGTCAAATTCACAGTATGCACATTCACATTTAAGAATCCTGACTTCTACTTGCCCTAGCCTGAGGACAAGAAACTGTGGTTTGCTCAAAAGAACTGAGAACTGAGCATTCGCTGTTTTGTTTCTGGCATAAGTTGCTTCTGTTTTCTGAGTGAATGTTGAGAAAAATACTTATACACCAGGAAATATTTTTAGGAGTTTGAATGTGAAGTACTTCAATAACCTGAAGTTAAAAGATGAAACTGTAAAATTCCATGTGGCCACTTTTCTCAGTTTACAAAAGAGACGGCCAAAGAGAGATTTGAAAATACTCATTACAGAGTTTCTGTCACTTACTGTATTGTAAAGCTAGAATGAAACTTTTTTTCTTTTAATGAGGTGTGTATGTTATCTAGAGGAGTGTACATGGGTGGAGTACCTCTCAGACTCTCTGGAGATGGGACTTCAAGGGCAGGGAGCCATCCTGGAAGCAGCAAGTGTGCATCTTGAGTAGGACACATAGACTTGGTCAGTTGCAAAGAGGGCAGCAGGAGGAAGGTGAGATTTAATTTTGTTTGTATTTCGTGCGAAAAGTGTGAGCAGCCAGAAGTGTTCTTGGGGTAGTGACAAAGAGATGGGTGACAATATCATACTCAACAATTAGAGATGAAAAAAAGCTGCAGAAAAAGAGAAATGCTGATTTTAAAGCCATTATTTCTGAGCATATGCAGTTACAGTATTATGGCAACCAAATTTAAAGTATCAGTTACTGCTTACAAAATAGAGAGATGGCTTTGCTTATTAACTACATTAGGAATCATGAGCAAAAGCTGCCAAATTTTAGCCGATAGGCAGGTTTTCAAGACACAAGCTACTAAATCGCAAAAAGTTATTTGACTAGAAATGCTGGTATGCCTTTAATGATACCCAATGTATTAATGTCTGATTATAGCTTGGTTCCTTCTTACCACATTATGTCTTTTGCAATGGCCCAATTCACAAATGACAATTAATGACATAAGCAGTATTATGGCAGACAACTGACTGAGTTAGGAGGCAACAGTACAGATTGAAAGGATTACCTGTCACTTCATTGTGCATCAAAAAGTTCTCCTTGATATCTTATGTTATTCAATAAAAAATCCAAGAGGACTGTTGCCTTCATTTGCATTGTTAAAAACTTTCTCATACAACATATATATGAACCTGTTCTATTTAGAACAAACTAAAAAAACTGCTAAAGAATATGTTTTGCAAGTGCAATTTACTAATTCTTCATTAAATTAGTGGAAAAAGATAATCTGATGTCTACATTTCTAAATATCTGATAGTGTTCTTGGGATTACTTTCACAGTGTGACTGTTCGGTTGTTTTCTGATAGCTTAGTACTCAGATATCAAAAAGTAAATAACCTACTTAGAAATCATACTTTGCAGCCTATTCCAGCATACATATCTTACTTGTAGAGCAGGCTTAAGGCCAGAAAAATAATTTTTAGTTTATTTTTTGCTCAAAATATAGTGGTTGGTGCTCAGCTCCTCCTTGAAGCATTTTCTACTCAGCAACATACACTCTGAAAGAATGCATTGCTTACACTACAATCACTTTTTGTTTTGGGTGGTTCATTTGTACTTAGGATCCTAAAATCAGCTCAATTGTGCATGTTCTACTCTCAGACCACTTCCTAAACACAACAGGTGAAAAAGATGTCTGTTTTTTGTTTGTTTGCTTGTTTTTATCTGGCTGGATTTGTATCTAAGAATGGACTAGGGAATAGCATGTCTAAATAAAACAGGATGGGAAGACCTATATTGTCCAACCAATGCTGACTGAATTGGTGAATTGGCAGCAGTTAACAGGGAGAAGATCCTTTGACTTAGGAAGCTGAGCTTGCTAGTTCATGTCAAGGCAACTGCTGAGGAGAGAGGACAGGCTGCTTCTTGAGCAGGTTGGCCAATCAACCTGGGTTTCCAATAGGTTTGAATTTCTCATCCCTATGCCTGTCACTTCAGATTCTTTT